TGTTAATGGGGGGGAGTGAGGGGTTGGGGGATTGATGGAGGGCAAGGGAGGGAGATGAGGATTTGGTGGGGTGAGGAGTTGGGGGGTTAATGGTGGGGGAGTGGGGGGATAGGGGGCTCAATGGGGCAGGAGTGATGTGGGGTCACCACAATGGTGCTTGCTTCGCATCAAGGGTCAGAATTTGGCGGCAGAGCCCCAAAATGCCACTTTCTAGACTTAAGACTGAGCTCAAATCTCCCCCCAAAATCAGTTAAGAATGGAAAACCACATTCCAAAAAGAAGCATTTTGGGTTTGGATGGGAAACGCTCCACCTGAAAGCAGAGATGGAGCTCGAGCTCCGTGCCATCACCGCTCAGCCCATCTCCTCTCCATTCCCACCCACCCGGAGAGGATTTTGAGATGGAAATGAGGGGATTTGGGGATGAGATGAGGGGATTTGGGGGCTGACCTCGTCGCAGCAGTGCCTGCTGACCGCAGCCCTGTATCTCATGCGGGCCCAGAGGCGGTCACGGCGGCGGAGGAAGCGGGGGAAGAGGCGGCGCCAGCCCCGGCCCAGAGCCCAGGGGAAGATCTCGTACTTGTGCTCCTCCTCGTCCTCCTCCATGTCGTTGGCCAGGTATCTGGGGGGGGAACACCCTAAAATTCAACTGTTTGGATTGGGGGGGAACCCCAAGACCCCGGCCCCAAATATGGGGGGAAAGAAGGAAATCCCAAAAGGACCCCAAGTAGGGAGGAGGGGAAGACCTCCAACTCCTAATTTGGGTGGTGGGATCCCCAAGTCCCCCAGTTTGGGGGGGGAAAACCCACAAGCCTTTATCACAGATCTGGGGGAGAGACACCCCCACACCTCACCCCAAAATGAAGGGTGGACAACCCTGAGCCCCCAACCCCAGATTTGGGGGGGATGCCCCCAAATCTCCAACCAGCCCCTAATTGAGAGGGGAGATCCCCCCAAGCCCCACCCCAAATTGAGGGAGGAATACCCTCAAAGCCCATCCAGCCCCAAATTGGGGGGGATACCCCCCAAACTCCACCCCAAACTGAGGGGGGGCAGACACACAACCCCCACGTTTTGCAGCCACCCCTCTTAGAAAGCAAGCACTCCAGCATGCTTAGAAAGCCAGCACTCTTGCTTAGAAAGCAAGAACTCCAGCATGCATTCAGTTTGAGGTTGGCCCCCCATCCCTCCCCCCCAATTTTCTTCTGAGCCTCATTAGAAGCTTATTAATTAATGAGCGCCTCGTTAGGAGCCCGCTAATTAACGAGGGCTGTGTTAACAAGCAGACGTACAGTGCAGTGAAGAGGTTGATGCGGGTGTATTCGCTGGTGGGCAGCGCGGCGCGCTTGAAGTACGTCAGCACCATGGCCAATAAGTACTGAAAAAAGAGGAAAAGTCAGAAAAATAAAGCGTAGATTTGGGTCAAAAAAAGGGGAAAACGGTTACAAAGGGGACTGGGTGTTTCTACCTTATCAGAAATCCTATAGCAGACATCTGTGGAGAGAAACTCCTGCACCACGCTGTCCTCTGGAGGAGAAACAACAACAGAGTTATGGGATAATTTT